CTTAGTTTGTACCTACCCTGCTGCTCTTCTCCAAAACCATCCTCTGAGCCTTGCAAACGCTCTACCACACGCCACACATGGCCATGGCAGGGTGATGTTCCTATGTCTCCTGCTTCTGTTCCTTACTCTACAATTCCTCCTCAATTTCTTTTGAAGTTTAAGGTAATGCACAACAGAGCCAAATGCAAACAAGTTAGGTTTTGGAAATTTACTCTTTAAAGATGCCTAACGTGCATGAAAATCACATAATACATGCAAATACAATTTGCCACTTTTATGTATAAGGAGGAAAAATGCTGAAATACAAACTAAAAAATGACAAATGATTTATTGCCCTAATTACACCTATCAAGGAGAGACGATTATAAAAAAGGTGCAATGTTTACATGTAAACTATATAGTGAGATTCAAAGTAGTATAGAGGGAAAACAAAAGGTTTCATGGAAATAGAGAAACCTGTTACTTTAAGAGAATTTAAAATGTAGTAATAGATATTCTGCCTAAAATGTGAAAGAATTTTGACTTAATAAAAAAAGTAGGAGTTGAAAAACTGGCTAATGTCAAAATAAAATTAAAAAATCACTAGGGCACTCAGAGTTTACTGAATACAAGAGCAAGTGTTTGACATATTACAGCTGAGTTTGGCTTAACAGCAACACAACAATTGTGTCCCAGTCTCCTTTCTTTTTGTCCCAAATATCCTTTTATTAGACCAAAAAAATGCATTTTCTTTCCTTGCCAGGGAACATAAGAGTTTAAAGCAGCCACTTCAGCCAAATAGCAACTAGCATCTTCACACGATACCCATCTTCCAATTTGATGATACTCAAGGAACAGGTATTGATGAGGCTGAAAATGCTACAGCACCAGCCTGACACTTCCTAATCATAGCATGCTTATGCTGACCACAAACCATAGCTGCAGCCATGCTGGTGATACACATGTAGCTTGCACAGGATGTGTCTGCACATAATCTTAAGACCTTATGGCAGAGCAACAGCCAATATACAGTGGAGCACTAAGAGCCCTTTTAAGCTTTCACTCTTGCAGAGCCCTGAGGGATATGTAAAATGAACACCACATCCAGCAAACACCAGTGAGTGGCCAGGAACAAGACTTACCCAGAAACCAGCTTTATCAGCCCCCTTGAAAGAAAGACTATGAACCCTCAGAACAACTTTTTATTGTGATCCTGCTATTTTTAATGAGGAGCAGGAGGATTTATGTAGGATAAAAGAGTAAACTGAGTCTTAGCTTGCCCGGAGTATAACCCAAGTCTACAGAGCAGCACTGGGTCAGACAGAAATTGGGCATCTAAGAACTGAATTGAATTTGTATAAACAAACAAGCTTTATTTACTGTATTCCTTTATAAAATCCCAGGGTTCGAGTCTGCATGTTCGTTAAAGAATCCATTTATGTACGCTTGAATGCTTATTTAAGCAAAAAACAAGAGAGCTTTCCCATGGAAACCACGCAGAGATGTTTTATTTCACACGTACACCACAAACAAGGCTGCTAACTTTCTATACTTTACTGTATTTTCTTAGGCTTGCTATTGTATTTTAGGACCATATCTTTTGGAGAAGCTGCTTACACAGGAGGCCACAGATACATAAATAAATTACCTAAGACAGGCAAAGCTTGAGATGTGAACTGAGAGGAAACAGCATCTCAGCAGCTTGTAAGAAAATGGTAATATCTTTGGCTTCCCTGTTCCTGGCTGGAGGAACAGGTTAAAATTTTGCATTTAGCTGAGAAACGATCAATCTGGAGGCATTTGGAATCACACTGTTTAATCAGGCCTTGATTTGTCCCTTAGAATTAAATCAAGCCAGAGGGCAATCCCTGGGCTAAGACAATAGCAAGCTTCAGTTACCAGATGCTATCTCTCAGTGAGGAATCTAAGTCAGTGGGCCTCAAAGGAGCCAGGTGATTTTAAAAGCTGCTCAAAAAGGACACAGAGGAAGAGAAACTCGATTTCATGGACTTTTATCAGACAGGCATAAATTGGTCCAATTTTTCCATCAAGAACATGAGCAGTTTTTCCCTGTGAATGAAGAAGTTCCTCCTAAACTGATATTCTGATTTGAGAACTTGCCTCTTAAATCTAGGTCTAAGTGTGAACGCATACAACCTACTTCTCTCTCTCTCTCTCTCTATATATATATATATATATGGATTTTAGGGGAGTAATTTTGCTCCTACTTACAGTTAGTACTGATTGTCTCAAGGCTACAGCAAAGGGTGAAGTCCCAACTTCAAAAGAGATGCCTACCTGTGCTGAGGGCCACAAAGATAAGCAAGGATACCAAGACTTTCAAGTTTAGCCCTGAGCTGAAGGCATTAGATGGGCTCACCTGGTTGGGAAAAAACCCAACAACCCTGGGAGAAGGCTGGGCACAGAGACAAAGTCCCTTTGGCACGAACTTATGACAGCTCTGCCTACGAATAAGCAGACTGCATTGAGTTGCTGAAAACAGACGCAGGGCTTGCCAAAACTGAGGACAAGGAAATTGCTGACTGGTGTAATTTCAAAGCTGGTGGTGCTTCTATACCTATGAGCAATGTGGTATACATTCTTCATTCAATGTATGACTGGACAGCTAATGAACCCACTTGGTGCAGAAAGCAAGTAAAAGCCGTCCTTGAAGGTGTCTTAAGCTACAGTGAGGAAGATGCAGACTGATCTGTCAAGTGTCTCAGAATAAGGGCAGAGAATGTGGTCAGATACCAGAATGTCAAGTGGGAGATCCTGTGGCCCTAGAACAGTAGGGTCAGAAAGATAAACAGAGCTGTTTTGTCTCAAAGGATGCCAGGTACTTGGGAGACCATTTGGCTAAGAGGGAAAAAGACTACATAGAAGCAAAACCTAATGGACAGTATTTAGAAACACAAACAAGTTGTCTCTGATTTGCCCAGGGTTAAATTTACTTCAGCTGAGCAGAATTACATTGCTTCTGGAGGCTAAATCATGTATCCTCCTTTTCTGTTTTTATTTGGGATGTTTTGACGTGGTGCTTGAAGTAATATATTTAATTAGAATGCTTTCGTATGTATGTTCCCGTATGCTTGTCTATATATGTTCCTATATTCTTGGCCCATAATGTGGCTATAGTAAAAATAGAATGAAAAATTATCTGGATGTGTTGAAACGCACTATTCTAAGAAGCCCTAGCAAATATTTTAGGCACTGTTTACATAAGGTGCTCAATTGTGTTAAAAATCCATCTTAAAATATGCTCGCACGTATTGTAACATCATCCTTTTCTTGATACAGATTTATTTCTGGTGCCTACTGAGGAATCACTACTTGTTCCTGCAAGCAAAGCGCTTTTAACTGGAGCGGCTTCTCTGTCTCTGCAGCTCAATGATAGTTATTTCAGACACTGCAGCATACTTTCTTCCCCCGCTTCTCATCATCTTTCTCATATTACGTATCCAGTGTAAAACTTAAATGCGAAGACTCAAAGAGAAGAGTGAATAACCTCACAAAACGCACATGTGATAGTAAGTGTACATACTTAGTGCTTTTTAAAGGAACTGTTACAATACTTCTGAATTTCAAGTGCAGGGCAGAGAAGTCCACTTATAGACACCCACTCAGAAATGAATGCACTTAGCAGACAGCACATAGGTACTTGTAAGCTTCCAGCTGCAGAAGAAGTGCATTTTGTAGTACAGTTATAAAATAAGCCATAGAAATGCTTCCATTTTTATTTTTTTAACAAAATACTTCCAATATTCTGCTAAAGAAATGAGTCCACAAAATTAAAATCATATTTCATCAAAAAATGGCTCTCCATGACAGTATGGCAGCAAAACCAACTACTAGGGAAAAAAATCTATTACAATGGATCAAAACCCAGAATCAAATGTTACTTGATGTTCTCCACAAAATTTAAATGTATAAAATCTGCAAATGCTTCAGTCAATTGTTGTTTGCTTCCATCATTTCCAAATTACAGTCTCTGTCCATGCCATTCATTTGATTTACTCAGCTTGAACAATTTTCATTTGACTCTTATTTACGCATCCTTGCTAATTTGATTTAATCTTCTGATTGTCATTCAGAACACTCATCCCAATATGCCTTGTTATTTATGCAGTTTGATGCCTTTACATGCTGAATAACTGATAACCAGCCTGTTTAAATCTCTCGCTGTTCTAACATTTTTACACTTTGGAAAACTGAAATATTGCAGCAAGGCTGTTGCCCATATTGCTCCATTCAGGTAAAATCTTACCTAGTATATGAAAGGGGCACCACTGCCCGTGGCAGCTTGCCCTTGCCATAGAGCCACTCTGGGGAGGCTGTACTGTCATCTTTAACTAACGGAGATGCTCAGACTGAAGTAGTGTCTCCCCAGCCTGAAATAAGGGCTTGCAGAAAAACTGAAGAGGAAGGAGTCAGAGATTCTCTGTTTCTAGCCAACAGAAAAAGCAGTAAAGAAAGAGATAGTCACACTTTCAGATAACTTTCTCATGTTCTAATAGGACTGCCTCTTATGCCAGATGGGTGGTTTGCTCTACCTCCTCCTGTTCTTCTCTGTCTTTTTATTACAGCTTAATTCCATACCTTTCAGGTTTTTCTTCCTTGCTCTCTCCATCTCACATGTTTCCCTTCAGGGTCGCCCCAACACCCACACAAAACCATGCAGTTACCTTGACTGACTGCTACTATGCAGATGACTCCTGCTGGGGGCTATCTTGTCTGATACCCTGAAAGCTCTTTGGAGCAGACACTGTCACCACTCTGTGCCCATACAATGCCTAGCAGAAAGAGTCTTCTTTTGATCAGTCCTCTGGCACTAATGTAATATGCATGATTAATAAAGTATCTGTCTATTCTCATATATGGGAACACTAGAACTATCAGGGAACAAAAACAAGTTCAGCTTTTGTAATGCTGGAAATGTACAGTTAAATCTGCTAAATTTCTACTGGCAGAAAACCATGCAACACATGGAATACTTAGTAGGAAACAGCAATCAGACTTACTTTGCTCTCTTGGCCATTTCATTGCCATCCCAGCGGGGGCTGTAAGGGTAATTCTTCTGAGCCTGGGAATACAGCTGGCCACTGTTAGTGAAGTGATAGACGGACTGAAATGTTAGGGTTGGTTGATCTCGAGGAAAGTATAGGGGAAGGTCAACTGAAATACAAAAAGGAAAAGAAAAAAGCCAGTCATAAAAATTCACCATTGCATTTTTTTCATTTTTTTATTGGGAATATAGAATTCCTTTCTATTGATTTAAAGGTGAGAGAAAAGGATTGGTAATTAAAATACACTTCTGTATTTCTTATAAGTCAAGTTTCCAACACATCACTTTGCTTTATCAAAATGCTTCTGTAAAGTACATAATTAAATAACGTTTAGCTAGAGTATTTCTATGTTAACCATAATGTTTACACCATTATTATTTTGTTATATAAAAAAACCCCACAGTTATTTTCCTTTACAGTGAAATTTTCCCTTTTGAAAATTCACAAAATACTTTCTGTTTGTGCTTTCCATTCAAGAAAGAGATTTCACTTCATCTGCTTTAGCCAATTCATTTTGGTGCCCCCACGGACATCATCATCCTCATTTTACAGCTATCTGAGACCTAAAGCGGTTAAATGATTTGATAAAGGATGTAGAAACATTCAGTCACATGAGTTGGAAAAGATCTCAACGTGCTGTCATCTGCTAGACAAAAAACCCAACCCACAAAACCAAGCACACACTGCAAAGTCACTAATACCCAAAATACCTCGCTAAAAATAAAAATCAGAACCTCTTAGTTCCCTTTGCTTATCACTGTCTCATGATCAGCCAGGACTGGCAGAACAATAGTCCGCAACAGTTAATAATATAGTCAGAAACTGTTTCTTAATCTTTTAATTGCCAGATTTATAGTTCAGATTTTCTTGCTCTAATTTTACTTCAGCTTCAGAAATCTGCAGTTAAACTGATTTATGACAACATACTCCAATTGTTTACATTAAATGGCTAATCTAACACCAAAATCAACAAAAATGTGCATTTCTTTTAAAGGTGTAGACTTCACTTTTTGTTATCTTTCAAATCCCAGTTCTTTAATTCTGCACGATGAAAGAGCACTGCACTGGAATAGTACCTCCCTGTAAATCTTATGTAATTTCCTACTGGTGTAGCGATGAGTCAAATCAATTAATAAGACTATAATTAATTCTTATTAGCCTGGGTTCTTGGTATTCTCTCTGTCACTTCACAGTCCTTTTTCAAGAGAAGGAAAGACTCCTAAGTTAATAAACAGGTTGTAACGAAGTAGGAATCAAAGCAGGTGGCAAAATCAGTGCAACCAGAACTTGAAGTGAAAGGAACATTACAGGACGAAGACCATCCTCAGACACAACAGGATCTCCCCTCCAGTACACTTGGTAATGTGCTGTATTTTCCACTTTGAAATCCTTCATGGAGCAGAGATTCCAGCACTTCCTCTGAAATCTCTGCTCACAGACTGAGCCATTGGTGTAAGACAGGTTTTATTTTTCCAAATACCACACTGTCAACCTGTTAGTTTCCTAACTTTTTAGTTTCTTCTAATCACACCTGAAATACTTGGATGCACATCAGCCACATCACAGCTCCCCTGCTCCTAAATTACCCTCCAAGCTCTATGAGTAAAATCATCTGTAGCCATGAAGGACACAAAACTGAATGTCTTTGAACACTGAGACTCAGCTGTAGTCTCAAAATACAACAAATCACTGTGGACAAGAGTGTTTGCTCAGTTCATGACCCAGTCTGAGCTACACGTGCTAACTCCCAGAGTTCTGGTGACTCAGCTCACACAACAGCTTCCAGCAGATACTTAAGCGGTAAGGACATGGGCAGAGTTCTGCTAATTTGAGGGCAGATCACTGCTGTAGCAAAGGTTAGATTCAAAGATTGCTCTGTCAAATTCCTCTTTATAACATGATTATTAAATAACAACCATGAAAAACATTGGTATCAAGGCCATTTATCAGCAAGTTCTCTCCTCCCCTCACAGATGCTGTGTGCGTGCTGCAGCCTGTGAAAGACTTCACCTTAGAAAAGAGTAGGAAGCAAGAAAACAGGCTCTCCATTTTAATGTTATAAATATACTTCTGCTGCTCTGAGTGATTAAATTCTGCTCCTCTAGAGCATCTTCTGCCTTAAGTACCAACTCCTTAACAGAAAACTACTCTGCATTCTTGTGTATTCTGTCACTGTGTGAAAGGAATAACAAACCTTAGCCAGACACTTCACTAATAGTTTAGTCCTTACACTTCACATTTTACTTGCGAATTCCTAAGTTCCATTAGCTCTCCCTTGAAAAACCTCTGTATACATAACAGATGCAAGAAGTAGCAGTTTTCTTCCTGTTACCTAAAGCTACAGGTTTGCACTTAGGAGAGAGTATCTAGCACTAGAAACACTGCTTAAATGGATAATCAAGATATTGCTTTCACTACAGAGATGCTTCCATTTGTTAGAAGAAGCCTTTCTTTCATAAAGATATTCTTCCAACCAAGGTACCACCAAAATACAACAGAAAACATTTTCTCCTTCTATTAACCAAAACCTGTCTAGGAATTTTCAGGAATAACTTACAATAGAAACTGTTAAATCAGATAATCAAACAAGGTTTATAATTGTGCATCCCATATCTGGCCAACAGCAGTATCATCCCAAACTGCCCCACTCCCATTTGTCTAACCCAAGTGTTTCCTTAATGCAAGGTGTGAGATGAGTCCAGACCAAGTAAAAAAACCTGTCCCTAATTCTGGAACACAACCACACCTAAAAGACCAGTAAACAGGAAACAGCCTTGAGTTTTAAAGTGTTATACATATCTCAAGGTAGCCAGCTATTATTCCAGCAGTAGGAAGGGAAGGCAAGAACTCACTTCCATCGCAGTGGGTGCCCATCCATTGACACTGTGAGGGCACAGAATGCCTGGATTTGGGGTGCAACATTTTACTGCACATGAAAAAAAGCCAAATACCACTGGTAGTGAACACCAGCAAGGTGATAAAAGGTCACATTCTGCTCACAGTCATGCAGGTTGATGAAGAAAATGCTTGTTTTTACTTGGTAGTATAGGCAATCTGACTCTCAATCTGTGCATTAATATCAAATCAGATCTCCCTTCATGCAACAGATAAGGTGGCAAAGGAAGCATTATTGTAATTACATCCCAGACAACATTTACACTTTGTCATAAAAAAGGTATCACAGTTAAAACCAATGCACTACTTTTGTAAATCAGCACCTGAACGAGGCAAAGTATAAGAGCCTGCTTTTTTTTTACCTAAAAGCAAACAAAAAAAGTGTTCATGTTGAATAAATGTACTATTTCCAAATAACAGCTGACTCATAAAGTACCCTGGTGGTATGTCTGCAGAAAATAAAGCAGATGACTCATGTCTGTAAATTCCTGAAAGCACCAATAGACCCCTTGCTTAGTCATCTTTTGCTTGGATGCTGGGTTCACGAGCTCTGTAAACTATAATGAGGTATCTAGCTTTTAGTAGGACTCTCTCTCCTTTTTTTTCCTCTCTTTAAAACAGTGCAAATTATCTCCCTAAAAATAACTTCATCTACGTAAGTGAGTCACTGCATCTCGCAGGCTTATACAAGTCATGCAGTTAAGCAGTAATATTTGGTTATGAAGGTAAAAATCTTGCTGTCAAACTCAGATTTAAAATGAAAGTTATGTCAGAGGAAGTCCCATTTACCCCTTCTCTCACAGAAATAGAAACATTTCCTTTGGAAAATTTAAACAATTAGCTCATGCAGGAAAGTAAAGGTTTCCAATTTAGTTCCATGCCCAAAGTAGTTTAGTCCTGATGATTTCTTACTTTGGCTTTTCTAAGCATCACACTGTTAACATGAGAGGAGCTCAAAGAAGCAGACTGGAGAAAGAAGCCAATACCATAGTAAAATACTGCTTTCTCTTGTGTTACAATTTACAGATCATTTTTTAAAAGTCAAGTTTTAGAAAGCCATAATGTGGGGAAAATCACATCTTTATGAAAGCTCTACATGAGCAGAACTTGGAGGGCTGCTTTGGGTAATTAAGCATTGAGTAAATTCTTTGGTGATGGAGCCCTAATTTTCCCACACAGTTCATAAGAAAGCAAAAGAAAAAGGACTTGCTTGTTGAGAATGAGTCATGTTGTAAAGAGACTTAATTACAGTTTATAAATAGTTGAAGTTGCTCTCTTTTTGAAACGTAAGAAACTACCGAGAAGTAACACATAAATTTGCTTCTCTTGACTTAGCATTTAATGCATACATATATTCAAAACACAGTTATCTTAAAGCCAAAATCCTGATTCATTAATAACTAAAAATCTGTGCAATGAATCAGTAAGGTTTAATTGTTCATTTTCCTAAAGAACAACCATCTGAGATCTGGAACAGGTCCCCTGTTTGTCAAGCTTATGTCAACAACCACAGAGTTGATTTTGACAGTCTTATTAACTTCAAAACAATATCTTTAGCATCTAGTTTTATAGCTTTTTAAAGAGGGTATGAAATGTGGAAGGGATAAAAGCGAAAACATGCAAAAGCATACACCAGTGCAGCCACAGGGTTTCTGAAGGAAAAACGCTCGGAAGAAAAAGGCAGGGTTACCGCAGTGCTCCCCTCCCTGCTTTTAAGTGCTGGAGAGAAGAGAAGGGAAAACAAACCCATGGCTGAAATGCATGCTGACCGTACAAATATTTCAATGTACTTAGATGGTAATATTGAGAAGATTTTCCATATACTGTTCCCCTGTTCCAGAGAAAAGGTTTATTTATCCTTTGGATGGCACTGGGTAAATCCAGATATTTGCTTTCACAGAAGTCAACATTTACTCACTGACTGTTACGCACCATTTGAATGCTTGGATGATACTATACGGGTTATCTTATTAACCTCCTGAATGCTTGAATCTGCTGCAGTTTACTGCACCTATCATTTGTTATGCCCTCATAAACACTAGCTGATCTGGCTATTTTACTGGTGAGGTTCCTACTTCTACAAGTTTTCATGGCCTGCATAACCTTAATTCAATCTCTGCTTGCTTTACGGAGCAGCCTTCAAACACAAGGTAACACACTCAGTATTCTTTCCAGTTCTGTGCCTAGGATGGACAGAGGTGGCCAAATGAGTCA